AAAAACATATTGAGGCTAACAATGCTACTTCATTTTCTATCATTCTGTTTTCTTATGATAGAGGGATTAAAAAAACACTAAGAATTACCTCTTTATTCATTTTGAACCATTGATATTGTACAAAAGGATGTCCAGTTGCCCGGCAACACAATTTCACAAACTGTCCAGCCAAGACTGCCTTTGATTCTGGGTTTACAGTGATCTTTATTCCTTAAAAAAAAAAAGTAAAAAAAAAAAAAGTTAAGTAAATAAAGTCACAAAAGAGAGGTTTTCCTCGTTTATATTTCTGAACCCTCCCCCTCTCCCCAAAAAGAGAGAAGTATTTTGGAAATAACCTGCATATTCATCCTCGTAACAATCGCCCATTCACATCCCCCCCACCAGATTCTGGGTTTGTGACGTTCCAGGCTTGGTAAAACCAGGAGGAAAGAAACTTGCCCGCAGAAAACTTTGATCTGTTGTACTTCCCACAACTGGGGCAGAAAACTGTTTGTCATATTTCTTCAATTCTTAGAAATATTTTTTCCACATTCTAACACATCTGAATCAGGATGCACCTTGCAATAGACATCTGCCAGGCAGCAGTCACAATATAGTTTTCAGTGCCGGCTCTTTGAATATTTGGTCATAAATGCACATATGGCCTAAACTTCAGTTAGTGCACTGTTAGTAAGACAAGTGCTGAGTTGAAATGCCACTAAAACTGTCTACAAAAGACATCTGAATTTCAATGCTATGATTTAGTATTAAAATGACAATTATTCTGAAAGCAGAAAGATACAGAACCAGAAGAGCAGGATATAAATTTGATACAAGTGATACAAACATTTCTCATTTGAGAAATGACTACCAGCATGTTAATTTGGAAAACTTTGACAGGAGTTTAAAGAAAATCCTGGAGTCAATAATGAAAAGAGACCCTTCCCCACCCTCCGTCCCAGCTCTTAATCGTTCCCCCTGGGGAAGCCTGCTGCTATGGCACAGGGATGCTCAGGCAGCCCTGAAGAGGCCCAACCAGTGAGGAAAGAAACGTGGCCTCCTGCCAATAGCCACGTGGACCAGCCACCGGAGAAGGGGATTCTCCAAACCCAGCCAAACCCTCAGGTGGCTTCGGCCTGACCGACAGTGTGATTGCCATCACATTAGAGGCCCAATGTGAGCCCAAGCCACCCGGCAAAGCCACTTCTGGATTCTATACTCAGAAACTGGGTGAGAGAAGAAACGATGGCTGCTACTTGTTTTGGGGTAATTTGTTATGCAACAACAGATAACTGACACAAAAGAAATCAAAGTTATAACACATAACACTGGGTTGGGTGGCTTTTAGGAAAGAAGGAGAAAAGGTAATCGAAACATGCCCTGGCCAGTTTGCTCAGTGGTTAGAGGGTTGGCCCACAGACTGAAGGGTCTCGGGTTCAATTCCATCAAGGGCATGTACCACAGTTGCAGGTTCAATCCCTGGCCCCGGCCGGGACACCAGTGGGAGGCTCCAATCGATGGGTCTCTCTCATGTTGATGTTTCTCTTCTCCTCTCTCTCTCTCTCTCTCTCTCTCGTTCTCTCTCTCCTCCCTCCCTTCCACTCTAAAAAAAAAGAAATCAATGGAAAAAATATCTTCGGGTAAGGATTAAAAAACAAATGAACTTAATTTCCTGCACCTACTTTTTTCTTTCCTCCTCTATTTTTAATATGATCTCTTGACAGTTTATTTTTCTTCTCAACCTACTAATCCAAAGGAACAAATCAAGATTACAACTTAAGAGGAGTTAGTCTAAATATCAGCTTAATACATCAAAAGTACCAAGTTTTCTACGGAAAAAAAATTGCAGGTAAGGTAAAACAGGTATGTGAAATCATGCCAGAAAGATACTATATAAGACCAAAATCCAAAATGAGTAAATATTTATTACTTTTAAGGGCCAGGAGAAACACTAGAAAATCTTTAGTAAATAGAGTAGAGCCTCTCAAAAAAGAATTTAAAACTTTTGCCAGGGGAGAGTAATTCTTTATATTGAAGCCAAATTAGCAAGGATGGATAACATAACAGTTTCTCTGAATCCTGTAATACACGCTGGTAGAAATGTAAGCCAGCGAATTCACGAGTGTATTTTAATGCCAGGAGAGACTTACAGCACAACTTTAAGATTCAGAGACTCTGAATTTCAAAGTTTAGGTGAGATAAGAGGAAATAAAGTTGCAACAATAGAAGGGAACAAGTATTATTCTGAAAAAACAAAACAAAACAGGAATTGTGACTAAATTGGCTTTAAAACGTGGATGTCTTAGAGCCATCTCAAACCTAGCATGTCCAACTCCTTCCTGAATAGTGTACCCCCCACCCCCCCTTAGACCCTGTGCTCTTCCCCATCACTGGGAGAATGGTTTCCAGCCTACACCCATGTGCCCGATGCAGGACTAAATTTAGCAGGCAACCCTGAATCCCTCCTTCCTTGTCACTCTCCACATGGAATTTACCTTTAGGTCCTGTAGTTAAGCTTTTCCAGGTCTCATCACCTTCAATGTCATAATCTTAACCCAAGCCACCATCTGCTCTTGACTAAACTACTGTTACAGCCTGCTAAGTTGTTTCCTCACTTCCAACCAGCAGACCAACGTATTTTGAAAACATGAATTAATCCAAATCACGACTTCAATTAAAATCCTCTACTGCCCTCCCATTGTACTCAGAAAAATCCAAACTCCTTAACATATCCTAAAGCCCTCATGAACGGATCTCTTTGACTTCTTCCCTACCATTCTCCTCCTCCTGGCTCACCACACTCCAGCCACTTTGGTCCTCTTTCCTTCGGAAAACACGCTATTGTCTGCCTTCCCACTTACTAGTCCCCTGCTGGATTTTCCCTCCAGCCCCCACTGTTCCATGGCAGATTCTCCAGCTTCTTTGGGAAAGGTCTCTAAATGAGCTATTCCACCTGGTTCTCTACTACATCCACTCTGCTTTGTGGTCTTCATTGCACTAATCACCTGAAACCCCTGTTTCTTAATTTCTGTCTCATCTACTAAACTGTAAGCTTTGCGGGAGCAATGACCTTGTTTTTCTTAGTCACCAGTTCACCCGACGCATACCACAGCGCCTGGCGCATAATGACAGTGTTCAACACGTATTTGTTGAATGAATATACAATAATAAAAACAATTACTGTAGCAGCAATTTCCTGACTGCTTTATATGGGCCAGACATTTTGATTTTACCTTCAAAATAACAATGTGAGTTAGATATTAATTAGATCTATGTTACAATGAAAATGAAGTTAAGTAATTTTCAGTAAATTAACTTGGGTAAATTATTTAACCTGAGATGATTTCTTTGTTCCACTGTTAAAATAGCAGAACCAGGATGCAAATAAGGGTTTTCTTGGGCTTTAAAATCCTCATACTTTTGTTATCCCAGTGACTCCTTTTCCTCTAAGCTTATTGAGGCATAACTGACAAGTAAAAATTGTATATATTTAACATGTACAACATGATTTAATATACGTACACATTGTCAAATGACTACCACAATCAAGTAAATCAGGCTAATTAACACATCTGCCACCTCACATAGTTCAGTGATTCTTTTTTTGGCTTAAACAACACACAACACACATTTATTTCCTCCAGTTCTGAAGGTTGGGAACTCCACGACCAAGGTCCCTCCAGGCTCAGTGTCTGGTGAAGACCCACTTCCTGGTTCACAGACTACTGTCTTCATGCTGTGATCTCACATAGAGGGAAGGAAAAGTGTCCTCTCTTAAGTCCCTTTTATAAGGACACTAATCCCACTCATGAGGGCTCCACCTCATGACCTAATCACATCCCAAAGGCCCCACCTCCAATTCCTAGCGCTAATGAACCTCCCATGCTAACCCAGCTTCCGCCACAGTGAGCTTCTCTGACTGGAGGGAGTATGTCAGGCAGTGTGCGATCTTGCACCATGACAGTGCTTCTCAATTTACCATGGCAAATATTCTCTGCTGTTACACAAAGAGAAAAGAGACAAGCCCAATGGAAGTTAAATGGCTTTCTCCCTAGAGCAGCGGTTCTCAACCCGTGGGTCACGACCCCTTTGGCGGTCGAACGACCCTTTCACAGGGGTCGCCTAAGACCATCCTGCATATCAGATATTTACATTACAATTCATAACAGCAGCAACATTACAGTTACAAAGTAGCAATGAAAAGAATTCTATGGTTGGGTCACAACATGAGGAACTGTATTTAAAGGGCCAGAAGGTTGAGAACCACTGCCCTAGAGTGACTTAGCAAGGAATGAATGACATTAGTGGAAAGGGCTCATAGGGCCAGAATGTTTTAAAGGTATTCTTCCTTGCCCTAGCTGGTTTTGCTCAGTGGATAGAGCGTCAGCTTGCGGCCTAAAGGGTTCCAGGTTTGATTCCAGTCAAGGGCATGTGCCTGGGTTGCAGGCTCGACCCCCAGTAGGAGACAATGCAGGAGGCAGCCAATCAATGATCCTCTCTCATCATTGATGTTTCTATCTTCCCTCTCCCTTACTCTCTGAAATCAATAAAAATATATTTTTAAAAAATAAAGGTATCCTTCCTTGGTGTGGGAGGCAAGTCCAAATTATTTTTAATGTACATTCAAACTCAAAGTTTACACGTCTGTCCTTACCAACAATTTTACTTGTCTAGTCTTCAACAAGCAAGCAAATACATGTATTTATTATCTATTGCTTCAAAGACTGAGAACTGAAAGGAAAAATGTGATTTGGAAACCGCCTTAGTAAAGAATAGAAGTCACAATACCTCCCATGTTTTAACCACACATATTTCCTTCCTCCTACAGAGTGTTGTGTGCCAGGGAACCATGTTCAACCTGTAACCACCCTCGCACTGCCCACAGTTAGAGGTGCTGAACAAAGGTAAGGAAAGAAGATGGCACAGTGCTGTGGAGGGTGTACCAAGGCATACGAAAGTCCTATTTTACAGGGTGAATGCAGCCCTGGCCAGTGTTGCTCAGTGGTTAAAATGTTGGCCCTCGAACCAAAGAGTCATGGGTTCGATTCCTGGTTAAAGGCACATTCCTGGGTTGCAGGTTCTATCCAGACCCTGGTCAGGGCATGCTTGGGAGGCAACCAACCAATGTATCTCTCTCACATCAATGTTTCTCTCTCTTCTTCCCTCCCGCCCTCCTTTCATTCTCTCTGAAAAGACTTGGAAAAAATATCCTCGGGTGAGAATTAACAAAA